CAACAGTGCTACGCTGATCCCATGTATATGTCAACAAGAGCTATTGTCGCCTCAGACTGGAGGGAGAAAAAGCTCTTTTCTGGGCTTGCTTATGGCAGGTTTGTCAGTTTGTGAGTTCCAGGCTGCCTTGTTGCCAAAGTTTATAGTTATCATCCATATTCAAAATGCTCCAAAAGAAGCTCCAGTTCCTCTATATAAATTGCTATTCACAATTGCCTTTTAGTCTTTGCAAGTTACAAACCCTGCACTTGCCTTTCTTTCCCTTTTGAAATGATGTATCCTACAATTGTAGGCTCGTTTGTTGAAGTACATACCCTATTTTTCTTGCACACAGCATGGCTTGGAACAAGATAAACTCATCGTTTTTGAAAAGCAGAATGAAAAAAGATTTTTCCATGTAGCAAGTAACTGAGTATCAGCAGCTAGGGAGCCAAGCCTTCTCATTGTTCTGCTCCCTGTAGATTGTGTGCAGACTTCACTTTAATTTTTGCCCAGGACCTGGCAGAAACTGCTTTTACCATATGCACTGCAATTTCCACCAGCTGGTTCTTAGGCAGGGTGGTGCATGTTGTATGTCAGAAAATACAGTATTTCCTTAGCTTACTCTGATTAGCTCTGACTTCAACACTTTTAGCTGATTGAACAAAGGTGACAGAAAATATTATATAGCCAGATCTGCAGGTAGAGTTTTTGTGAGTTTAATGCTGGCCTTATGCCAAAGTTCGGATACTTTGAGACTGAACTTATTTTACCTTAGCAAAATATAACAGACAACATTTTCTGTAGCTAGCTTTAGTTAGTCCAAGTGAGATTTCAGATGTAGTCTTCATCACTCTCATAGTTACTGTTTGCTTACCAAAATGCAGTAGTCTTAGTATACCTGTAGATTTCAAAGGTAGTACAAGAGGATCAAAACATTTCTGATGCTTTCAAGTGGAAATAGGGCTGTTGGTTTAATATTAGGAAATGTTTTGAAAGCAATCTACATCTGGTTTTACAAAAGATTAAAATTTGATCTCACTTTGTTCCTAAAAGGACAATAGTTAACCACAAAAAACATTTGTTTGATGCAGTTTATAAACTATGCCAGTGTATTTCAGCATAGATCTCCTTAATCTAGTGATGATCTTTGAGGTCAAATGGATTATATAGGCTTTTACTGTGATTGGTACTATATCTAGTATGAGAGAGAAGTGTTTATTTTAATTCATTTATGGAATTAATTTCCATGAATTCAAAATTCTCAAATTAAAGGAGAAATCAGAGTATAGTTCTTTTTGTTTTAAATACTGTATGTCTAAATGAACAGTGTAGTTAAACAGCCTAACATTCAGCAGTAATATCTGTACACATTTTAAATCTTATGTCAAACTTTTTTAATAATTACATTTTAAAATTATTTTGGAAGTACAAAGGCTTATAATCACTGCATGATTTTTGGCACCTTTTCAGCTTTGATTTAACTTAATTAAAATGGAAATAAACATTTTCACAGGATGCTGTTTTATTTCAAGTAAATAAAAGTTCCAGCCACATTTGTGGCTTCTTTGACTTTAAATTGGGGTCTAGATCTTTAATTTAACAAGTGTGGATTGACATTTCATACAGTCCAGTAGTTGATCTCATTTTGTCCAAAAACATTGGGGGAAAATATTCACCAAACTTGGAGCATCTCAATTTTCCATTTAATTTGCCATATTAGCACTGCCAGAAATTACTACATAGTGTATTTGTATGGAATAAATTACTTTTGAATTTCATTGAGTTACTTTCTAGTTGCCAGCTATTTTAATACATTGATGTAATATTTTATCCTGTTTTAATCCAGATATTGTGCTTTATATATGAATAGCTCTTAAAATGGTGGTAGGCTTATGTTATGTACTTCATGCTAGGTGCAGAATGACCTCCTATTTAACTCGGTACTAAAACACCAAATGCCCTCACTGGCTGTGAGATCAGGCCCTCTTGCCTATAATTGCCAAGACATGCATCAGAACTGCTTAACATTTTCTCCAGAACTTCTTTGTCCAGCTCCAGTTGTCGAATGGCATCTTGCTTGATTTGAAAGATGTAAAATAAAACAGCAAGCAGCAGTTTAAAAATTGCTGCTCACTGTTGCAGCTGTTGTTCCAATCAAAAACTACTAGAAAATCCTTTTGAATTAGTTATACTGAATTTGTAACAGTCTACTGCATAAAGCTGCTGCCATTCCCTGGGGAAAGAATAAGCCTGACATGGAGGGAAATGATTAAAGCTGTAATATCCCTTTTTTCAGTGAAAATAAAAAATGTAGTTCTTCAGTCTGGACCTAATTTAAAGAATTCCAAACTCTTCTCTGCCCCCCCCCCCCCCCCCCCCCCCCTTTCCTCTCTCTCAACTTCAACATGTGGGACACTTTCAAAGGGAGAAGGAGACTGGAACTATACCAGAGCCTTAAAAAAATCAGGGTGCATTTTTCTCATGAAGTCTGCTTTCTGTTTGTCATTACCTGCTAAAAGATTTAATTACTCATTTCTTTTAGTAAGTGAATCTTCCAGTGGAAGCAAATAGAAAAGCATAGTCTGTGCAGCTTTCCTGTTGTAAATTGTATTTTAGTACTATATGCGCCATCATTTTTTTTTTTTTTTTTTAACAGATGTGTACAGTCTCATTGGCAGTTCTCTTTCTCTTGTTTAGTAGATGGGGATTACTTCTTGCAGATACAAATGGCTTTATTGCCTGACCCAAAACAATATTGCAAAGCTTTCTTTGTATGGGATCACAATTGTACGAAGTCATGAATAACATAGGGTAAAAGTCATCATGCTTTTCAAATTTCTTTTTTACTTACTGTCTTAAATTGTCATATAATGTGACTGTGTACTGTAAACAGGTGTTTTCCTATATAGTGGGAGCTCCTTTTCAGTTGTTGGCTGAAATGATTAATTGATATGTCAGCTCTAAATAATTCCGATAATATGAACTAGCTCTGCCAAAACTGCTACACAAGAGTTTTTACTGTCTTCCCTTTATCTCTGAATGGTCTTTCCTTCATAGCTTGGGCTTTCTTGTTCCCTTTATGAAACTGCCAGCTGGCTAGCCCTACATTGGTTTAAGTTTGGTATGTTATCTTCACAACTGTGATGAATGATTATAGACCAGCTTTAAGAATAACTCCTAATTTCTGCAGAAGATGCTAGCTGTTAGTTTCCAGTGTACTGTGGGTGAGTGGAATTTTTAGGTCTCATACATTTGATCCTTCAGTAAGTTTTGAATAAACTCCCTTGCATGATTTGAAATGAAACTGCTGTATGAGAGTAAGATGACCATATTATGTAATAATTACACAGATACATAGGTTCAATACTACATTTTTGTGGTGGTACAGTGGTGGGTCAGTGTGTGTAGGGCTTAAACCAACCTTTCACTGTTAGGGTTAGCTGAAAACTTTCTCAGTGACCAGGTAATTTCCAAAAGTGCTCATTGCATGTTTCTAAAACATTCCTTTGTATCCTTTGGTAGTGACTATTCTCAGTGATAGTAAGCAAACTAGATGGGCTGCTGGTTTAATGTCATAGATTAGTACTGCAGATACTGGTGCCTTCTCTGCTAATTCTTATATAATTGTGTTCCTACCTCTTGTTTGATCTTCTTTAACCCTTGTCTGTAATTGGTTCTGGATCTTGTATAGCAAGTTCTTCAGGGCAAGGACTCTCAATATGTGTCTATGAAAGTCTCCAGAAAGGGTAGTCCTGATGCTGATTGAGGCATCTGCCACTACAGTGGTACAAATAATTAATAACAGAGGCTTAACCCATGCACTGGGAATTGAGAAGGGGGAAATTTTATTTACCACAGTTCCTGACTCTGAAATATTTTGGTATCCTTTATTTTTTCCTGGTATTACTGCTTCCTGGCTGATATTTGCACAGTGGTCTCAGCAACACATGGATCTTGTTCAATCTTATTATTGAGGAAAGGGGGTGTCAAATATGGCCTATAGGCCAAATCCGGCCTGTAGAGCTGGGTTATCCAACCTGCAGATCTTGCCCTAAGCCTGGCTGGGATGGGGGAGCCAAGTGCCTGTGCAACCAATCAGAGTGCTGGAGCTCAGCAGCACCACGATAACGAGGCCCGCGCTGCGGCTTGTTTCCGGAGCAGCAGCCACGTGCACGCGATTCCAGGGTTCGGCTTGTGGTATTGCTGGAGCCCCAGCACCCACTTGGCTGCCAAGCACCCAAACAAAAGCAGCAGCACTGGACTCCAGAAGCACTATAGGAAGAAAACGAACACCACAGCTTGTTCCTGTGGGAGTGGCTTCTTGCTGGGCTTCTTCCTGTTGGGTCCCCATCCACATTGACTAGCATGGGCATCATGCTTGCTGGATGCAGCATGCGGGGTCCATGGGTCTGATGCAGCCAGGGCGTGGGTCTGATGGGGCTGGTCTCATGCCACTGATCTGGCCTGTGGGTTCAGATGAGTTTGACACCTGTAGATGTTATCTCATTGGGTAGCTGTACGAAGATGTAGAGCAGGCAAAGGGAAGTAGTGACTCGCTGTCTCCTGTGAAAATCCCTAAAAGTCTCTGTATTCGGAGACCACCGCAGCTGGCCCTTTGGAGCATCCCAAGGGTGCACAATGCCCTGAAGGAGTTGAGGAGCAAGGAACAGGCTAATGTATCCTCAAGGATTGAATGCTGTGGACAGTCTCCACTGCCCCGGGCTGCTGATGGAATTATTATACATCTTTGAGGCAGAACTCGTTCTCAGGCTCGCAACCTGAGCCCATGGGTAACAAAGGCAGTTTGTTCTCAATTGCCACTTATGACAGGATTGCAACTCCATTCATTACTCATCTGTCTGAGAAATTAATCACACCAGGAGATCCCCTGAAATCATTTCACTACTCACGTGAATAGCTGTTCACCATGAGTTTCATCTGGCCTTAAAAGCAATGCATCAAAAAGCAAGCATTCTTAATCTTTACAAGCAAATATCTGTTTGTCTTTTGCAGGATACTCTTGCAGGCTTATTTCACAAAGCATGTCTCTCATCTTGGTGAATGAAGATTCTTTGGATGTAAGTCACCTTTTTAATTTTTTCATTGTGATGCTAGGTATAAGCAAGTACTCCTAACTGTTTGAGCTGTATTCACTTCATCTTTTTGTTAGACTTCTGGAGCAAGTAAACACAGAGCTCATTTTAAAAAGCAGTCAGTCTTCAAGTTTCGAAGCTAAAAAGGTATAGGGTGTACTGATGTCTATTTCTGTAGTTTTGAACATGGAGCTGCAGACCTATTTTACCAAATGGTCAAAACATCAAAATATTTATCATTGGCTTATTTCTCCTGTTTTTTACTGTGATTCTCACCAGATTATAAAGAATATGGCTTGGATTTAAATAAAATGTATTCCATTAGGATTTAGCTTCCTTGGGAAAATGTTTTGTTATTCACTAAAAGCAGCATCTATATTTTAGCTGTTTTGTGTGACCTCTAAAATATTTGGAATTTATTTGGGAAAATGGACAGAAGTAAATTCATAGTGCAACTTGTATCATATTTTATAGTGTAAACAAAATTAGAGGAGAATTGTTGTTTATGTATTTCAGTAGCTGGGCCATGTTATCAAATATACTCCTCTCTTTCAGTATCGTGTTTCCACCCCCCCACCCCCCCAAGTACCTAAACAGCTAAGTCGGTTATGTGTTGAAATTATCCATAGAGGTCAGCTCCTCCCACTAATTCATTTTGGAGTGGTGATGCCTGTGTTTTCTTTCCATTCCAAAACTGACTCCCTGGTCATTTCGACATCAGTATCAGTGCTTGATTTGCTAAATAGCTCCTCAGAGAATCTCCAGAAGGAGTCTGTCAGGGGAGGTCTACAGTACCCTAATGAGGATTGGGTCTCAAATGTACCTGTACTTATATGGATTTGCAACTTTAGGAATGGGTAACCCATGCCTGACTGCATGACATGTATGAACTATGTATCTTTCTGTGAGTACCACAATAGTGATATGATTTCTGAAGAGTTAGAGTTAAGTGAAGCGGGAGACTGCTGTGGCAAAATAGCAATAACTGAAGTGCTTAGAAAATAAACTAAGAACTATATCATGATTATCTTCTATTATCACCAGGGTCACTACAGAGCATACTGGTCAGACTCTTATTTTTAAGATACAGATATAGCATCCTGGGATCAAAATCTCTTACGCAATATCTGAGTGGGAGAGGATCAAGTTCCTGGCAGAGGAAAGGGTGCAACTTGTCAGAACTCTGCTGTTGCATTCATTGTCAGCGTTTTAATTGTGCTTTCCCATTGTATTTCTTACAGAAGTTCCAGCATTAAACATCATGGCTAGGGACAGAAATTCCACCTCATCCAGTATAAGTTATTCAAAACCAGTTCAAATCTGTAATGCAACAGAAGTTCGCTGCAAATAAACCACTTTCAAAATGTCTGAAACCAGTTTTAAGATAAACCTGGATGGATGTAGTATTAGACTTAACTGATTTAGGTTAAAATGGCTTATTGAACTTCTGTCCCAGATCCCCTCCAGACTCAAGTTAACTCAGTCCCCTAGCATCCCAGGATGCTTTGCACCTACACTACAACATTTTCCCCCGCCCCTCCCCCCTGGCCTAAGCTATCTGCTCCCGCCAAGCAGGGAGGCATGCTCTAGTACAGGGGTGGGCAATTATTTTGGGCGGAGGGCCGCTTACCCAGTTTTGGCAGGCTGTTGAGGGCCACATTGGTAGCCCTGCCCTGTGACAGGTGCCCCATCCCTTGACAGGTGCTCCGCCCCTGGTTATCATCTTGGGTCCAATGTCTCAAAGTCTTGGGACTGTTGTAAAAGAGAAAAGCAGAAATAGGTTTTCCATACGAGTTCAGGCAACAGCTAATGCTTCTGAATGTTTCCTAATGGTTAATTGTACTAATAATTGCTTTAAATTGAACCAAGGTAAAAAAATCCTCTGTAATAAGACCAGTCAAATATGCTATGCATACACACATACCGTCCTTCCTCGAGGATGGTTTCTAGCCTGCGGGAGAATAATATATTCATACCTTCCAGCGAATGCTACTGGGGGACCATGCACCATTGCC